CTCGGAGTGCGAACCCCTGGTAAGTGGACCCATTGCACCCATCCTCAAGACAGTGACTATATTAATTCCCTCCATGCCTGAAGCTGTCAAGGTGAAAGCCTTAATAGACTCTGGCTGCACCCGCTGCCTCATTAGCCCGACGCTAGTGGGGAATCTGGGCATTCTGTTAAGGAGGCTAGAACAACCAATCTCATTTGGCCAGTTAGATGGGTCCATAGCAGGGGGGGTGCCAGTTACCCTAGCCACTTTACCAATCCACCTCTCCCTGGGCACCCATGAGGAAGACATAACGTTTGTAGTGACCCCAGGCATAGAATGCCTGATGATCCTAGGGATGGAATGGTTAAAGAAATGAAACCCCTGGGTAAATTGGAGGACGGCAGAAATCAATTTCCTGAAAGGGGACCCTACGGACTTAAAACCCCAAGGGGATCTACCAAAATTAAGAACGGAAAAAGCGTCCATCGGAGAAGAAAAGGGGCTACCACAAATACCAGAGGAATACAGAGATCTTGCTGAAGTTTTCAGCTTCCCCCTCACCGACCCACGGACTGTGCCATAGAATTCAAGCCTGGGGCAAAACTCCCAAAGCCCAGATTATACTCCATGAGCCCAAAGGAGAAGGAGGAAATGGAAAGATTCATAAAGAAAAACCTAGAAAGGGGGTTCATTGAACCAGCCAAGCCTAAAGTGGCCGTTCTGGTCCTCTGTAGAGAGAAGGACGGCTCTTTACGCTTATGTGTGGATTATAGGCTCCTGAATACAATCAGTGAAAGCAACCTATACCCCCTACCGCTCATGAAGGACATGTTATCACACCTCTCAAAAGGAAATTTTTTTTACTAAACTAGATCTAAGGGAAGCGTATTACCGCATTAGAATTAAGGAAGGGGATGAATGGAAAACTGCATTTAACTGTCCAATGGGGTGCTACCAATTCAAAGTTTTGCCATTTGGATTACAAGGCCCCCCCCGCAGTATTTATGCAATTAATCAACGAGGTACTAAGGGAGCACCTATTTAAGGGGGTCCTGGTTTACTTAGATGACATCCTTATCTTCACCGAATCAAAAGAGGAGCATGTCAACCTAGTCAGAGCGGTTTTAAAGAAACTGCGAGCCGCCCACCTATATGCCAAACTATCGAAATGCGAATTCCACCAGGAAAGAATAGACTACCTAGGTTATTGCATATCCCCACAGGGAATTGAAATGGACCCAGAGAAGGTCAGAGCAGTATTAGAATGGGCACCACCTCGCACAAGAAAGCAACTGCAAAGTTTCCTGGGTTTCACAAACTTTTACTGCCAATTCATCCCCTCATTTGCCCAGATAGCCCTGCCCCTCACGAACTTACTAAAAACGAAGGGAGCCTCCTCAGTAAAACCTAGCCAGCCACTAACATGGACAATGGAGTGCCAAGCAGCATTTGAGAGATTAAAGAGACTTTTTTCTGCTGAACCCGTACTGAGGCATCAAGACATGGATAAGCCCTTTGTAATACAGGCGGATGCAAGTGATGCGGCAGTGTGGGCTGTACTATTACAAGAAAACGATGAAGGGGTATTGCAACCCTTTGCGTATACATCCAAGAAACTCACCGAAACGGAACAGTGCTGGCCCATGTGGGAGAAAGAGGCATACGGGATACGTTGGTCATTACTTACGTGGCGCCAGTTCCTTGAAGGAAACAAAATCCCTTTCTAGGTGTGGACAGACCACAAAAATTTGGAAGCCTTGAAAACACGCCTTGAAAACACTCAAGCATTTGCCGAGGGGGGAAAGAACTTCTTGGCAGATGCACTGTCTCGCATGCCCCAATATAACAGCACACGAGCCACCGACTCTAAACCGATTATGGCAGAATCACAACTGGCAGTGCCAGTAACCACCAGAGCCCAAGCTAAGTTAAAACCGCAGCTGGGTAGCCAAACCGGAATTGAATTCCGGAAAAGTTTGGAAACAGATGGTTCCAGAAAAATAGACACATGTGCACAATTAAGGACGGACTGCCTTGGGTGGGGGAAAAGTTATATATACCAGCAACACAAAGGGTCACATTCATACAGCTTTGCCACGACACAAAATCAGCAGGGCATTTTGGATTTGTAAAAACATTACACTTAATTAAACGGCAATTTTGGTGGCCATCCATGAAAAAGGACATAGAAAGTTATGTGGCCAGCTGCCCAAAGTGTGCAACTGCAAAGAGGTTGCAAGGGAAATCGCCCGGACTGTTGCAAACAGTGGCAAATCCCTCAGCCACCTGGAGGGAAATAGCCATGGATTTTATAGTGGAATTACCAGAAAGCAATGGGAATACTGTCATCTGGACGGTCACGGACTTGTTTTCCAAACAGGTGCACTTTATCCCTTGCCAAAAGATTCCCACCGCAAAAGCCTTAGCGAAACCTTTCGTGCAGCATATTTACAGATTGCATGGGGCACCCCAACGCATCATATCTGATAGGGGAGTGCAATTTACGTCTGCATTTTGGAAGGAATTTTTATCCCTCTTAGGGACCACTCAGGGACTGACATCTAGCCATCACCCTCAGTCGAATGGACAAGCAGAACATTCGAACTCAGTACTTGAGCAATATTTAAGATGCTTTATTAATTTCCATCAAACAAATTGGACGGACCTACTCCCTTTCGCAGAAGTCGCCTACAATAACACAGTCCACTCCAGCACAGGCTACACTCCCTTTCAAATAGCCACCAGTCAAAGTTTCAACCCTATGCCAGAACTAATCCCAAACGAACCGGCGATCCCATCACTGAAAGAATGGATGGAACAATTACAAAACACCTGGCCAATAGTTAGAAAAGCACTAGATGAAGCTAGGCAGGCATACAAAGCACAAGCCGATAAAAAAAGGGTTGAGCCTACACCATTCATTATAGGAGAAATGGTGTACTTATCTACAAAATACCTAAAATCCCTACAACCATGTAAAAAACTTGGACCAAAATATATAGGGCCTTTTCCAATTAAAAGAATCATAAACCCAGTAACCGTAGAATTAGAATTACCCCAAAATCACAGGCAAATACACCCAATTTTTCATTGCAGCTTGCTGAAAAGAGAGCATCAGTCATCGTTACGGCCAAAAATCCCCCCCTCCACCTCCAATCATGGTGGAGGGCGAACAACACTTCGAGATAAAGGAAATCCTAGATTCTAGGAGATATCATGGAGCAACTCAGTACCTAGTAGCATGGAAACACCTCCCTGCCTCACAAAATGAGTGGGTCCATAAACGTCATGTCAGAGCCCCGAAGCTATTAAAGAAGTTTCACACAGAGTATCCTAACAATCCAGACTAACTTTTATACCTGTTTTGTTTTCTTTTCAGGTGGATCTCTCTTATTTTTAAGGGGGCAGGATGTCAGAATCCAATTATATTTCATTTCTAGTTATCGACTATGGAAAACCCCATTTCTGCCCTCTCTGGATTCTGTCATACTATGAAGGGGAAGGGGGATGAGCAAAGGGCTCTCACTTCCTTCATTAAAACTTCAAAGGGACTGAATGTGGATCTCACCAAAAGGACTGACCATAACAATATGGCCGATCAGCTTTCATCTACTACTCTCTGAAGTCTCCCTTCTGCCGGTCGAGAGGAAAAGGGGGTGGAAATGTAACGCCTGGGATTGTCGCTGGAAGGACGGTGGGGTGGGGGCTCCTTGGGAACACTTAAAACCTTGAATGGTAGGGGTTGGGCCTCAGGTCCTGTCTAGCACGCCTGCAACCATCTTCTCTTAATAAAGATGCCTGTTGGAAGAAATATTCCAAGAGTTCTGTCTTCTTAAGATGGAAAGTGGGGTGGGTCCTTACACATAAGCAATAGAAATCTGCAAACTTCATAATTAATCTAGTGGGGTTAGATGATTTTTCCTCTTTTGCCTATGCTTTGAAATCCAGCACTATCAGTGCCCTTCCTTTTTCCCATTTGTTTTCTTACTAGTTGGCCTGGATGAAACTGTAGGTTTTGAAGGAGAAAGGGGCAGTTGGGGTGGAGTGAGGGCAGAGGAGAATAGAGAAATTAAAAAGCTGTCATATCTCTACTATGGTCTCTTGATAAACAAGAGTTATATTTTAAAAATGCATTTAACCAGGAGAGGAGCTAAGTAATGCAATCAAATCCAAGTCCCCATTGAGAATTTACTGTAATATGTAATACTTTAATATTATATATGCAATATAATACCGTAATATGATTTGATGTCACCAATACAATGTTGATCTTCAATTGGGGATAACAGGCAGACATTCAGCACTAGATCTCCATGAAGGGGAAAGATCACACCTACTGAACTTCTGGCCTGCATCTTCAGCATTAGTACTTTTGTTTCTATTTCAAAACACTGCAATAAAAAATGCTTGTGCCTTAAAAAAAGGTGATAGGTCAGTTATTTCAGTAAGTGAGCTTCCATCACTGCACATCGAATAGCTGGATTTCTGTCTGATAGGAAACAGCTAAATGTCTTTATGTCCTGCCAGAGTAAAAGAAGTAAACTCTGCCACAAACGCATTTAATTATATTTCATCTTTTTTTGTCTGATCAGTAGAAAACACTTCAATAAATAACCTTATCTGATTCGTGCAGTTTTTTATGTGAATTGCTATGTATCTCCACTGCTCCTGATTTGCAAATAAAGCTTCTATGACAGCAAATGGGAACCAAATGTATTGTTTAAAACCATTAAGACTACAGCCCCTTGGCTGACCCATGATGTAATAAACTTGCTATATTACATCTATATCTGCTTGACATATAAACAGAAGAAGCAAAACCATAGCTGGCAGGAAATCAGTGGCCCTCTTACTCCAATAGTTTCACAGGAAATAAAAATTATTGCCTATAGAACTTTTTCCTATGCTGCAGTAAAACTCTCAATAAGGTCATACTTCTGCTTTTCTGTATTTTTTACGCACATAAACTGGTTACACATTCTGGTCCAATCAGAAAACTAGGCTGCACATTGTTCCCATACCGGACTCTACCCTTGGTATTCCTCAGCACTGAGGCTGCAAAACTCTGAGTCACGCCAACCAAACTGGTGCCGTCCACCTCAACAATAAGGTCATTCACCTGGATCCTAAGAAAGGAAATAGAGAAAGTTAGAAACAGATCATCTGTCCAATTGCATTTTTGCAAAGTCAAGTGTGCAACCAAAGGATGACAGCTTATGAATTCAGTAGTAAATAAACACAATCACTCTACCTAGGGTGTAATTTTAATAAACTGTCATATATACCAAAAGTGGGGACTATATTCACATTTGTGGAGAAATCGAAGATGATGGCTTATTTTGGGCAAAACTGCCATTACATTTATCAATACAGGTAGTCCTCAAGAAACAACGGGCCACTTAACAATGGTTCAAAGTTACAACTGACACCCCAAAATTACATGCAACTTTGTTTCAAAGTTAAGATATCTGCACTTGCCCTGTGGTCATTTGCCCTTACAACAGAGCATGGGGATGCTGCAGTGCCCCCCTGCCTCTCTTCCCCCCCATCCTGCCCCGACAGGACCCTGCAGCACTTGGGCCAGCTCCCCATGCCTCCTGGAAGCAGTCACCATTTTCAGGGCCCCAACAATTTCTTGTGGAAATGGTGGCTGCTTAAGCTAGGACTTAAATGCTAAACTGTAGACTGTCCTCTACAGGCAATCAGATGGGCAACTAAAGCTTGCAAAGACCAAGCGTCCTCCATTTTGTTGAACAAGTTTCTAGTCGGCTAAACCAGGAGTCCCCAACCCCCGGTCCATGGACTGGCACCAGTCTGTGGCATGCCAGAAACTGGGCTGCGCAAACAAGCAAAGCCCCATCCATGGGATGCAGGCAGCATGCAAAACCACCTCTCTCCATGGAACTGGTCCCTGGTGCCCAAAAGGTTGGGGGCCACTGGGCTAAACCTTTGGAGATGAAGCTCCCCCCCCCCCCAAGTTCAAAGGAAAAAGCTGCAGAAAGATTTTCTTTCCCTTCTTGCTTAGTTCCTCTACTCTTCAGCCTGACGTTTGACCCTAATGGGCAGGCTTCATTATGGTTGTAACTCGAGGACTACTTAAGGTGAGATTGGCTCCCACCCTTCTGATCTTCCATAAGAGTCTGAAGACCTGGCCCCGCCAGATGGCTTGGGGCCCCAATGGGGGAGCATCACACTTGAGGTGGTTGTTGTATTAAGAGGCAATCCCACCTAACCTCCGAGCATCCTGTTCCCTCTCTCCCCATCTTTTAACTATAATTTTATATTGATTGAGATTTCTATTTTTATTCTTTTAAATATATTTGTTAGGATTTTAATGTTTTAATGCTGGAAGCTGCCCAGAGTTGTTTTGTTACAAGATGGGTGGCAAATAAATACAATAAATATATAATTACAAGAGGCCTTTTTAATACAGGTAGTTCTCACTTAACAACCACAAACTTCTCTCTCACACATTCTGGTGAGAGAGATGTTCCCTGAAGATGGGCTCCAGCATGAGTCTGACAGCTTGGAAGACTAAACCTCTGGTCCTAGTGACCGACCCTAATTGGATTCTGCAACATTATCCTGGGACACATATATTTGCCTTCATTCATGAACCACAACTGAGTCTGGAATTTCCATAAATTGTTGTGGTCGTTAAGTGGGTCATCAGGCAACCTAATGACCATTTTTATGATGATTCACCACAGTCATTATGGACATCCGTTCCCCCGAATTGATGTTTTTTGCCAGAAACCGGCAAAAAATGTTGCACATTGTGGTCAGGTGACCAGGTGATGCTGCAACTAGTCATAAATGTGAGCTGATTGCCAAGCACCTGAAATGTGATCATGTGACTGCGGGGGTGGTGTGGGGTGCAGCAGTTGTAATTTCAAGAATGGGTTGTAAGTAACTTTTTGAGTCTGTTGTTACTTTGAACAGTCATTAAGTGACCAGTTGTTAAGTGAGGACTACCTGTATTTAAAGGGATGAATGCTATCATTAGCTTCATCTGGCTTAGATTGCTAGTTAGTTTTCTTACTTGCTCAGGGCTAAACAATAAGCTTTGTGGCTAATTGGGGACATGAATTTTGGACTCCTCCGTCCAAACTCACAATTTTATTTTAATTTTATTTATTTATCAAATTTATTTGCCACCCATCTTGTGGTTCAGGTGACTCTGCGCAGCTTACATCAAGATAAAACAGTCAACAATTATAAATATAAAAATGGTTTAAAATTACAAAAATTAAAACAAGCTTAAAAAAAGGTTTTGGAGGAGAGGTGGGGTGCCTTCTCTGTTAGTGCACCAACCACCGCCAGTCAACAGCTTCTCCTTCAGAGCCCCATGCCAGCTGGCATGGCATAGCCAGGCTTTAAGGCTTTTCCTGAAGGCTAAAATTTTATTCACTAAAGCATACATGACTTTCTGTACAGGTTTGTGACAGTGAAAGGACATATAACTTTATTTATATTTGTACCACTCTGGGACACAGACCAAAGGTACCAGTTTGATGGATTCTGAGGAAAACTTGCTAGCCTTTTTATAAAATTAAAAAGAACATCAGGTAGAGAAGAAAACACAAGAAGCACTAGTCAGAGCGCACAAAAGCAATTTCTGTGATTCTACTGAGCTTTCGCCCACAAAGGCCTCTGTTTATATTTTGCTGGTGCTCCTGGTACTGGGCAAGGAACCATGTTGATTGCCATGACAGCATGCAGGAGCCCTGCTGGCATTTAGTACCAGGGCTGCTTTTCTTTCCTATCCTATCTTCCTTTCTGAATAGTTCAGTGCCTTGAAAATACACAGGCAACAATGAGGCATTCCAGTTTAGCAAAGAGATAGTGACTCATTCTTTATTTAAATTAGTGGCCTGCCAAATTTCAGAGGTCAATTGCTTAGGAAGCTAATAGAACCTTTATATATATATATATATATTGAATCCAGCTTATACTGTACCCCTTCACAAAGCTTCACCCTGGGTAAATGAAGTACATGAAGAATAATGGTATAATACTTTAAAAAACTAAGGCAGCTCAAACAGTCCAAAACAATCCTTAAAGGTAAGTTCTAGAGCAGGGGTGTCAAACTGCCGGCCCGCTGGTCGGTTGCATCATACGGAGGCCGCGCCCACCCCAGCTCCGGCAATGCAAAAAAAGTCACGATACATCACAACACGTGACGCGGCGAGTTTGACACCCATGTTCTAGAGCATCTGAATCACTGCCTCTCAAAGTCAAACTCAATTAGGTAAATATATAGCAACAATTGCAACTACAGGACACATGAAAGAGAACTAGGTGACTTTTTTATCAATGAAAATGTTTATACAATGACCAACTTGACCTTCCTTTAAACGAATCCTCGAAGGAAAAAATGACTGATAATGTTTCATCATATTCTGAAACACTGCAGAAAAAGCTAACATACTTATTTCCTTCTTGATGATAGGGACACAATGCTTTCTTTTTAATTCTTTTCAGCTATACATTCTGTGAAAAGGAAAACACAGGAATGGTGCTGGACTACTAGGGTGAAACTATCCCTTTTTTTGTTACTGTACAACTATTTTTGTTACTTCTACCACAAATACTTCAACTATATCTTCATTGGTTACCCCATTTTCTTATGCTGTATCTAGCACTTTTACCACTACTATTTTTTCTACAGCAAACAGAGCACATGGAAACTTAGAGATACACTTGTCAATCAGTATTTAGACCAGGTGATGAACATTTTTTTTAAAAAAATAAACATCACACAGCTTAGGTTTTGATATTTGTATGAGAATCTTGCATATAACTGGCATTCTCTATGAGATGTGTAGGTTTACCACTTCTGGGAAACAAATGAACTAAAGATGGCTCAGCAAAAAGCAGAGCTGATAACTGCAGTAGAATGAAGACCCTCTCTTTGATAATTCCTCTCCTTAACTATTAACTAAAATTAACAATTTTAATTTTAGATGGTCTTCAGTCGTTCTGAAAAATAGCCAACATTCTGAAAAACATATGCTCTTTGCTTTCCAGCCCACCCCTATCACATTTGCAGGGTCCGTGTCTGTGTCAAAAAAAGTGAAGATGGCAGTCACAGCAGCACAATCAAATCCAACTCCTTTTATATATGTGCTCACATCACAGACAAATAGAAAAGAGGTGAGGTTTCATTTGTGCTACTGAGAGCATCACCTTGACTTTTTCACCCCACTTTGTGGATGCCCATGGCCCACTTTTGCTTTATGCTGTTTGTTCTGTTTTCTGCTGGGTTCAGCATTGAAGAGGCAGGAGTAGTCAACAGGTACTTCTTTATTGAAGACAAAACAGAACTCAAACAAAGATGGCTCCGCCCCTATTTATACATTCAGCTTGAGGCGGTGTCAGCCAATGAATGCACCGTATTCTCCCGCTCAAATGCATACTAATCAGCCTTGTAGACAGCAAGTCTGGCTAGCAGGCCACGTGGTCTGCTAACGGTTCCAGTGCAGTTCCCTGCACCTGTTCCGTAAGTTAAGCTCAGTACATTACACCCCTCCCCTCCTGGTTCTTTAACACATACACAATATTTCTTGTTCAATACTACACACGTTTCACAAGACACACAATGTCATTCAATGGTACAAGAGCCTTAAAATTCACTGCCAAGATTCAAAATACATAACATTACAGGTCATAAGAAGACACAACATTAAAGTACTTAGGCATTCAAAGTTCCAAGAACTTACATAAGCATTTTAGTTTGCAATAAAAATACATAAGCATTTTAAGTTTGCAGTGACAAAAACCTCACGTAGTCCTTTAGAAACTTCGGTGGGCCTTTCGCCCGCTCCGAACGCCTCGGAGCTGCTGTTAGCTCCCGATCTGCAAGCTCGCCTGCCAGGCTCGGCAGACTGGGGCTGTGTGACCCGTTCGATACGGGTGAAGCCGGTTCGTGAAGGCTGGCCTTTCCGGTAGACCCAAGCCAGAGTTCCGCGGTGGAGAAGAATCCACCAGTTCGGCATGAGAAGCCGATTGAGAGCAATGTCCCACTGGCACCGATTGAGAGCAATGTCCCATTGGCGCAGTGCCTAAGGTAGTAGTGGTGTGAAAACCCGATTGAGAGCAATGTCCCATGGGCGCAGTGCCTGAG